TTGATAGTGGCCTTTTTAACTTCTAAGAGATGGGTAATTAGTTAGTTCTGACTAATCTTTTTACCACTATCTCCTATGCGGGTGATCTGTTCATATCAATTGGGTTTCATATCCTGGATTGAATGCAAGGAAGCCTGGCCTGCCTCATTAACTAGTATGTCAGCATAGGCCTCATCATCCCAAGCACATGATAAGGATGAGGTGAAGGACTGCTCATTCATGCAACTGTTGGTCAGGATGACATATAACTGTCTTTCTGCATTAGGTCAGGTCATAGTGATCACTGCATTTCTTAAGGCAGAGGAACTTGGCTGCATGGCCCTAGTTTTGTTCATTTTGGAATGGGTCAGACGTGAGGATAGGGTGTGCACTCTGATGGTGCTGAAGTCCCCATTACCTACTTGGTGAAGGGAAGGAATGAGAGGGTGTTCATATAGTAGTTCTCTGAGTTATGTATATGAAGTCCCTGAGTGAATGCAGTGAGAGAGTGTATGTATCTGGGTATGGAGGAAGCTATTGGAGACAGATGTGCCTGTGCAGAGGGAAAAGGGGGAAGATGGTGATATAGTTATCAGGTGTAGGAGAGGCTTGTGGCAGACAGGCAGACAAGGTTGAGTATGTCTTGAAAATGCCCAAAGGAAGGATTGTCAAGGATGTCATCTGGAGTGGGTTTAGGGGAGATGAGCTAGTTTAACAGGATCTTTTAAGGCACACATGGTATCTCTCCTGCAGTTACACGCCCATGAGAGTATGGTTAAAGGAAGCTAAGAGTCCAGATTTAATATTAATATTTAATATTCTGTGGAATGGAGAGGTCACTTTGTGGTCCTTGCGTGCATACAATAGCCATGTTGTATTGCAACAGAAAATCTGGTGTTTCTTTTTGAGAGTTAGGATTAGGCTAGAAAGGTAGCTCAGCTGTTAAAGGCCAAGGCTAACAACCATAAGGTCAAAAATTTGGTTCCCTGCAACCACAACTTAGAGTCAAGGCCAAATTCAGACCAGTTTCTCTGACTGTATTGAATGGAGGAGTGAAAAGATGTGAACTCATGAGACCCATCCTGGATCCTAACACTGTGCAGCCTAAGTCCACAGTGGGATTCTTTGTCTCATTTGTGTGTCTTGGTAGTAGGTGAACTTCAACCTCCAAAATTCACACACAGGTAAAATATTTACAGAAATTCACTCTGTTGCTTGTGGGTAACAAATTCCCATGCACCCGTATGTAGGAAGAAGTTCTCCTAACCATACATGATATGCAGAATTAATAATCTCTGAGATTTGCAGGCAATGGGCTTTTAAACCAGGTTAAACTTATGTAATATAAACCTTGTTAAAATGAACGCTTCGTGGGCTGGAGAACACTGGCTGCTCTTGCAGAGGACCCAGGTTTGGTTCCCAGCACCTATGTGGTGGCTAACAACTGTCTGTAACTCCAGTTCCAGGGAATCTGACACCTTCTGGCCTCCTTGGGCATTACACAACTTCGTATTATTACTTACATATATGAAGATAAAGCACTTATAAAAATTAATTACTTAAGGGGCTGGAGAGATGGCTCAGCAGTTCTTGACTGTTCTTGCAGAAGATCCAGGTTCAAATCCCAGCACCCACATGGCAACTAACAACTGTCCGTAACTCCAGTTCCAGGGGATCCGACAGTCTCTTCTGTCTTCTGTGGGCATTGCACGACATGGGTGCACTCACCTATATGCAGGCAATACACACATACACATAAAATAAAATAATAAAATTTTTTTAAATTAATTTTTTTTTAAAGTCAGATGTGGTTGTGCGTGCCTTTAATCCCAGCACTTGGGAGGCAAATGCAAGTAGATCTCTAGAGAGCAAGGCCAGCATGTTCTACATTGTGTAGAAAGAAAGAAAGAAAGAAAGGAAGGAAGGAAGGAAGGAAGGAAGGAAGGAAAGAAAGAAAAGAAAGAAAGAAAGAAAGAAAGAAAGAAAGAAAGAAAGAAACCAAAAACAGCAAGAGAGGAACATTTTAGCATTCTCAAGTCCATCAACCAAATAAATAAACACTGCAAAGTCCTGCTTCAAAAAAGAATAGAGTGCTAGAGAGGTGGTTCAGCTGGTAACAGTACTGGCTGCTCTTCTAGAAGACCCAGGTTAGGTTCCCAGAACATGGCTAACAACTGTTCATAACTCCAGTTATGGGGAATCCAATACCCTTTTTTACCCTCTGCAGACATCACGTGTGTGTTCACTTACATGAGTGCAAAACACACACATAAAATGAAACAAAACACCATATGAATGGCCTCTAGCCCAGTTTCTAATAAAGTCCTTGTTCTCTGAAACCCAATAAGCTAAGCCTCCACTCTCCATATAATTCTCAGCACTTCTGTCTTCTGGGCTCCCGATAGAACAGCTTGTTCAGCTCTGCTTAGAGCATTTTACCACTTTTGTAGTCCAGAGTTCCTAAGTCTTCCCCATTCTTCATAAAACTGTTGTCAGATTCTTCACTGCAACAACTCATTTTCTAGCATTAGCTTCTGTGTTAGTTAATTTTTGTTGCTGTCATAAAGTCCGTGACCAAAGCAACTCATGGAGGAAAGCATTTCTTTTGTTTAGGGTTCCAGAAGGGGAGTCCATAATGGCGGGGGAGGTGTGGAGAAGGTGGCAGGACCAGAAAGGAGAGAACAGGAACTGGAAATGGGGCATGGCAGTGAACTCTGAATGTCTGTCCCCAGTCATGTAGTTCCTGTAGAAAGGAACCACCTCCTCAAGGTTCCATAACCTCCCCAAACAGTGCTATCAACTGTGGGGACCAAGTGTTTGAATTCTTGAGTGTTCAGGGAGCATTTCTCATTGACGCACCACAGTCACATCTTTTTATCTTGTTAAGTAGTTAATTTTACAGTGTAAGCTGATTTTTCTCAGTGGAGACTCTTATTTTCAGGTGCTGTATTAATTTCTTTTCTCATTGCTGTGACAAAATGCCTGGCAGGAAACAGGAGAGGGAAGGGCTTATTTTAGCTTACAGTTTGAAAGGATACAGTCCTTCATGGCAGTGATGGATGGTACAGGAGTGAGCTGATCACATGGTATCCACAGTCAGGAAGCAAAGCCTGAGCAGAATAGCGGCTAGGCTATAAGGTCTCAAGGTCTGGGGGTTTGATACAGATGGCTTTACCCCCTAAAGGCTTTAAAACCTTCCCAAAGATCACTACCAGCTGGGGAGTGAGTGATGAAACAAACACGAACCTCTGGGTGATATTTCACATTCAAAGTATAACAGGCAACACAGGTCATTAGGAATTGGACTATATTGGGGCTGGAGGGATGACTCGGTGGTTAAAGACACTGTCTGCTCTTGCAGAGGACCAGGGTTCAATCCCCAGCACCCACATGGTGCCTAACAATCATCCATAATTCCAGTTCCAGGGGATCTGATGCCCTCTTCTGACCTCTGTGGGCACTGTACAACATGGGTACACTTAAAGACATGCCGTCCATACACTCATTCACATAAAATTTAAAAATTGGTCTATAGATGTCTTTTTAAAGTGGCCTCTGTCTCTACAGTTCAGGCAGCAAATGGTCATGCCCCAATTGCTAATTTATGGAAATTGTCTTTAGTTTTTGGCATTTTGTTTACCTCATAACTGAAAAGCATTGATATGTTTTAGAAAATATTACCTTATTTTTCACAGAATATTGGAAATTGCAAGACAGTTGTGGCTCCATATAAGTTTGGAAAGTTGTGACTGTTAAAAGGTCTCTTTGACATTCCTGGGATGACTGTAAATAAAATTGGAAGAGGTGACATTTTGTTTCCTCCATCTGTTCTTTCTGTCTTTACTCTGCCTTTCCCCTTCTCTCCAAAGATAGGAGTTTTGCTATTATTGTTTTTTACTTTAGTTTTATGTGTATGAGTCTTTTGCCTGTATGTATGTAAGTGCACTCGTGAGTGCAATGCCTGTGGAAATCAATAGAGGATATCAGTTCCCTATTAGCTGCCGTGTGGGTGCTGGGACCTGAACCTGGATTCTCTACAAGAGCAATCAGTGCTCTTAGTCATCTCTCCAGCTCTGTGAGCAAGAATTGGACAGACTTAATTAAGGACAGGCAGACTTAATGACTTCTGATGTCAGTGCTCTCTGTAGTGTAGGTGATAAAACGTCATGACCAATGTTTCAGTTGCTTTTCTATTGCTGTGATAAAATTTCCATGACCAAAAGCTACTGAAGGAAGTGTTTATTTTGACTAATGGTTCCAGAGGGCTAGATGTCCATAATGGTGGGGAAGGCGTGGTGGTAGGGACAGGAAGCTGAGAGAACAAATCTTTTTTTTTATTGTATTTATTATTTTTATTTTATGTGTATGCGTGTATTGCCTGCATGTAGGTAAGTGCACCCATGTCGTGCAATGCCTGTGGAGATCAGAAGAGTCTGTCAGATCCCCTGGGACTGGAGTTACGGACAGTTGTTAGCTGCCATGTGGGTGCTGGGATTCAAACCCAGGTCTTCTGCAAGAACCACCAGTGTTCTTAACCCTGAGCCATCTCTCCAGCCCCGAGAAGGACAGAGACAGATACTGGAAGTAGGGCAAGGTATACCTCTGAAAGTTCAGCCCCAGTGATGTATTTCCTCCAGCAAGACTCCATGTCCTAAAACTTCCTTAATATCCTCAGGCAGTGTCTCCATCTTGGGGACAAGTGCTCAAATACCTGAGCCTGTGGAGGGCATTTTTTATTCAAACCACCCCAACAGGTATAATACAGATGTTCTCTAGACAAATTCTAAAAGAATTTGAGTGCGCGAATGTCGAGCAACATATCGTAGTCCCAGGGCCCAAAAATGAGCGGAGAGATCCTATTCTGCTGTGTCCTATTGAAGTTGCTCAGTCCTAGATGTCGAACTGCTGTGTCATCAAAGAAATGTTCATAGACTACAGAATTAGTGTTAGTCGAGTATGGACTCCTTGTGCTGTCAGTTTCACTTACATATGTCATTCTCATTCATATGTGGGATGTTCAGGACTCAGTGACCTTTGAGGATGTGGCTGTGAACTTCACCCAGGAAGAGTGGGCTTTGCTGGATTCTTCTCAGAAGCATCTGTACAAAGATGTGATGTTGGAAACCTACAGGAACCTCGCTTGTGTGGGTAAGAATGTCACGTAGTCATGAAAGCACGAGTGTTAGCGATGCTGTTCTCTTTCTGACATGAGGGAAAGGTAGAATTTGTTAAAAAAAGTAAAGATTCCCAAGTACATTGAAGCTAGAAAATATGTTTTATGTAAATTCTTGTAACTTATAGTAATTTTTCTGGGCCTATATTTTAGGAAACAAGTGGGGAGACCAGAACATTGAAAACCAATGCAAGACTCCTTGGAGAGCTCTAAGGTAATTTGCATGCACAAGTGGAAGCAGATCACCATGCGGAAATCTTAGTGTGTTATGAATTGAAGATCAAACAGAGAAAGTAAATAAGCATAACTTTAAATTCGTTCACCATTTGACAAATTTGACAATTTATATTGTATGTCGTTGAGTTTAGGAAAGTGACTCAGTGTCTGGAAAACATTTTACTTGGAAACAGTTGTATGGAATACCATGTATAAATGTTGCAGTTTTCATAATAGCTCTGTAGGAACCATATCACAAAAACACTAGTCCATTTACTTGTGTTTTTTTGGTCTTTTTGAGACAGAGTCTACCTATAGCCCCAGCTGGCCTGGAACTTGCTCTATAGAGCCCAAGGCTGGCCTTGAACTCACAGAGATCCCCATGCCTCTGCCTCCTGAGTGCTGGGATTAAAGGCATGTGCCACTATGCCCAGCTTCATTTAGTTTTAACCATTCAGATATACCAGAAAGTATATAATTTTCCTATTTGGAACAATATGTACGTCCAAATCCAAATAAAAAGGAGTCACAAAAACAGCTTTTTAGTTTGATATTACTATTGCTTTGATAAACACCATCACTAAAAGCAACTTGGACAGGAAAGAGGTTATTTCAGGTACAACTTGCAGTGCGTCCTGGAGGGAAGCCAAGGGATGAACCTGAAGGTAGGAACTGAAGCAGAGTCCCTGGAGAAATGCTGCTTACTGACTTGCTTCCTCTGGATTGCTCAGCTACTTTTCTTATATAAGCTAGGTGCTCCTGCCCAGGGGTTGCAAAACCCACATGGGGTGGGACTTTGTACATCAGTCATCATTCAAGAAAATGCCTCAGTTTGAGAGGCATTTCATCAGCTGAGGTTCCCTCTTCCCAGGTGACTCTAGTTTGTGTCAGTTTGTCAACGCCAACCAGCACAACAAGTAATGTGTTTATCATTGTTTTCTTAGAAGGTACATGTGGAAAGAGTGTATGAAAGTACAGAAGGTGGTCAGTGTGAAGAAATCATCACCAGAAACCACATCGTAATATGACTACAGAAATTCCTTCTGGGGCAAGCATTGCTATGCTTCCCTTTAATCCCATACTCTGAAGGCAGAGGCAGGTGGATTTTTCTGATTCAAAGCCTGCCTAGTCTAAATAGCATGTTTCAGGCCATCCAGAGGTGATAGGGAGACCCTGGCTTAATCTAGAGTAAAAGCATGGTGGTATGAGAAAGATTGAAACATGCAGTATAAAGGTAAACAGTATTGAAAAACCATAAATTCTGTCACAATTATACAGATACGTCGAAATGTATAATGTGCATAGACTTTATAAATATGAGATGTATCTAAAGTCCTTATCTTTTCCCAGTTCGTTTGAAGTACATCAGACACCCAACTGTGGAGAAAAAGTCTATGAACACAAGGAATACGGGAAGCCCTCTGTTTGTCTTTCATTGTGCACTCGTGAAAGAACTCCCAGTGTAGCAATCTGTCGAGAGCGTAAACAATTTGACAGACCATGGACATTGTTTAGTTTTCTTGAAAGTTACAAAAGAATTCATACAGGAGAAAAGCCTTATAAATGTAAACAATGTGGTAAATCCTTCATTTATTTTTCTTTACTTCAAATACATGAAAGAACTCACACTGGTGAAAAGCCCTATACATGTAAAGAATGTGGGAAAGCCTTCAGACGTCTCAGCAACCTTCAAGTGCATGAAAGAAAGCATAGTGGAAAAAAGCTATATAAATGTAAATTGTGTGTTAAGTCTTTCATTTCGCCCTGTTTACTTAAAGTGCATGAAGCAGCTCATACTGCAGAGAAGCCTTATAAATGTAAGAAATGCACAAAAGACTTTCTTTATCGCTGTTTACTTAAAATCCATGAAAGATCTCATGATTCGGAAAAATCCCATGCCTGTAACCAGTGTGGTAAAGCTTTCAAAAGTCGCAATTCCCTTCAAAGCCATAAAATAACTCATATTGTGGAAAAACCCTATTCATGCAAGCAATGTGGTGAGGCCTTTAGAAGTCGCAATACCCTTTTAAGACATAAAACAACTCATACTGGGGAAAAGCCATATGAATGTAAACAGTGTGGTAAGTCTTTCATTTATCCCTCTTTACTTAAAATGCATGAAAGATCTCATACTGGGGAGAAGCGCTTTGTCTGTAAACAGTGTGGTGAACCTTTCTTTAGTCGCCATTCCCTTCTAAGACATAAAATAACTCATACTGGGGAAAAGCCTTATGAATGTGAACAGTGTGGTAAGTCTTTCCTTTATCCCAGTGCACTTAAAACTCATGAAAGATTTCATACTGGGGAAAAACCCTATGCTTGTAAACAATGTAGTAAAACCTTTAGAACTCGCTATTCCCTTCGAAAACATAAAATAACTCACATTGGGGAAAATCCCTATGCCTGTAAACAATGTGGTAAGTCTTTCATTTATCCCTCTATGCTTAAAATGCATGAAAGATGTCATACTGGGGGAAAACCTTATCCCTGTAAACAATGTGGTAAGGCCTTCAGAAGTCGCCATTCCCTCCAAAAACACAAGATAACACATACTGGGGAAAAACCTTATGAATGTGAACAATGTGGTAAGTCTTTCCTTTATCCCAGTGCACTTAAAACTCATGAAAGGTCTCATACTGGAGAAAGACCCTATAAATGCGAACAGTGTGATAAAGGCTTCGGAAGTAGTCATTCCCTTCAAAGACATAAAATAACTCATACTGGGGAAAAGCCTTATAAATGTAAACAGTGTGTTAAGTCTTTCCTTTATCCCTCTTTACTTAAAACGCATGAAAGATCTCACACTGGGGAAAAACCCTATAAATGTGAACAGTGTGGTAAAGCCTTTAGAAACATCTATTCTCTTCCCAATCATAAAATAACTCATACTGGGGAAAAGCCGTATGTCTGTAAACAATGTGGTGATGCGTTCAGATATCACCATTCCCTTCAAAGACATAAAATAACTCACACTGGAGAAAAGCCTCATGAATGTAAGCAATGCGGTAAGTCTTTTATTTATCCTTCTTTACTTAAAATGCACGAGCGATCTCATATTTGGGAAAAAGCCTGTGCTGGTCAATAATGTGGAAAAGTCTTCTAAGTGTGAAAGAATTCATATTAGTGGTAATACTTGATCATTCTAAACAATGTGGTAAAGCCATTCATTAGATGTCACAAATGAAGAAACCCATACTGTGGAAACACCTTATGATTGTTAACAATGGTAAAATTTTTCAGTGTTACAGTTCTCTTCAGTTATACAGGAATCCAAATGTGAGAAATACTGTGAATTTAATAATGTGGTAAATCCCATCATTGTATGAAATACCTATTGCTGGAGCAAAACTATGTTTCCTAAGGCATCAAAAATGTAATGATAGCAGACAAATTCTGTGAATGTAAATAATGTGAAAACTTTCAGATTTTCCTGTGTCCTTCAAATGTATGGATAAATTCATTGTAATAAATTTTTTTCTGAATGTTAAAAATGCTTAGACCTTTATTGTTGTTGTTTGGGATCATTGAAGAACTCACTATAGAAAAGTCCTATTAATGAAATAAATATTAAGACCTTCAGTGCCATTTTATATGAAAAAAAAAACCCCTCATTTTGTAGAAAAATCCTTTGAATGAACAAAATGTGCATGTACTTTCTGTCATATCCAACCATTGTTGCTTGATGGTTCATAATGGACATAGACCTTCTGTATTAGTTACTTTTCTGTTGCTGTGATAGGAACACTGACCAAAGCAACTTATAGAAGGAAGAGTTTATTTGAGCTTATGGTTCCAAAGGGATAAGAATCCATCATGGTGGGGAGGCACGGCAGCAGAGGTGACTGGAGGAGGAGCAGAAGTTAAAGTCACACATCTTCAAGCAGGCACAGGAGGCAAGAGAGCAACTCCAGATCCAGCAAGGCTTAAGAACTCTCTAAGTCTGCCTTTAGTGATGTGCTATACCTTCTAAAACCTCTCAAAACAGCATCACCAACTGGGGACAGAATGTCCAAATACTTGGAGCCTGTTGGGGACATTCTCATTCAAACCACCACATTCCACTTCCTGGCCCCCACAGGCTCATGACCATATAAAATGCAAAATGCATTTAATCCAGCCTTATAAGTCCCCCTAGTCTTTACCAGTCTCAAAACTATTTAAAAGTCCACAGTCTAAAGTCTCTTTGAGACTCAGGGCAGTCTCTTAACTGTAAGCCCCTGTAAAATCAAAGGACAAATCACATACTCCCAACATACCGTGGCACTGAATACACATTCCCATTCCAAAAGAGGAATGGAGGCATAGTGAAGAAATACCAGACCAAAACAAGACTGAAAACCAGAAGGGAAAACACCAAATCCAGTAGCTACATTGTTGAACGCCCCCCAAGCCCACCAGGCTTGGGTCTTCAACAAGAAGGACACTCAGGCAAAAGTCTGAAGTTTTGCGAGGAATTTATTAAAGGGAAGGCAGCTACAGCTCAGAGAGAGATCTCCAGAAGGAACTCTACTATGGGGTCCCACAGGTCCTTTTTATCTGACTTGGAATTGGGGTTACCTAGGTGATTTTTACTAACAGAAATAAAAAAGTTACTATGGCTACAGCATGTAGCCGCATCTTCCAGAAGATCTAATTTATTATACAGGTACAGCCTGTCAGCTCTGGCCGCTGAAGCAGAGAGCTCAGAAGCTCTTAAAGTGGCACTCTTCTCATTTCCAATGCTTATGTCAAGCATGGCTCCCGACATTTCCCCCTTTCTTTTTATATTTTTCAAAGCTAATGTGCATGCCAAGACCGGGATGGAAAGACCGTGCCTGTCTTAGGTCGTCCTCTGCCAGAGTACAAGCCGTTGGGGGTGGCCGGCGTCCTGCTTTCCTGTAAGAGGATCTTACCTGTCACTGGCTAACCAGCCTCCGGAAAGCTCCCATCAATTGGCCATGGCCTTGGGGAAGAAACAGGAAATTACGCTGTGGCACGGTGCCCCTGAGATAGAAATTTGTGCCACTGAGCTAGAAGTTTGAATTTTGGACCGAATTTGAATTGTAGGATCGCATTTTGAATCGAACTGCTGAGCGGAGGCTGAGCTTAGGCTGTGTAGGCCTAATTCCCCCCTCCAAGCATAAAAAGGACCCCAATGTGGTGAAGGGAAAATAGCAAAGGAACTAACAACAGAAGGGCACATAGGGTGTACAGAAAGGAAGGAGCAATACATAAATGATCAGAACAGTGGTGCACAAATCATGTGGAACAGTCAATCAATCAAATAGGGTGTTGAATCATAGCCAAAGTCCAGAGAAGTAGAAAGGTGGGCACCAGGCGGTGTAAACAGTCCAAAGGAAGCATGGGAAAAGCCCAGGCAAAGAAGAGCAGGATGGTGACATCAGTCGGTGCAACACGATGACACAGGCGGCGTAGAGGCCAGAGATTCCGCTAATCGAACAAAGCATTCAGGTACCCAACGTGCACTGTCAGCATCCTGCGGAAAAAGCAGAAACATGCCCTCTCCCCGTGCCACTATGAAGTGGCCATTAGCAACAGAGGAGGTACTGTCATTGGAAGTGCCAACAAATCAACAAGGCAGGGGGCTTTTGTCAACGATTAGTGCCTCGTCGAAGGAAAGGTTGGATAGAGGGAAGGAAACCTTGATTAGGACAGGGTATTGTGACACATCTGTAAGTCAGTGTCTACTATAACTTAGGTTATGATCGCAGCTATGTTAACCCGTAATTGCAGCAACATTTTCCTTTTGAAAATGCAGAGCAGAAAAGATAACTGCAGCAGCCCACTTGTGGGCCTGCCGCTGCAGACAACGAAAAACACAGCGGCAACCGACAAACAGTATGCAAAGAACAATCATCAAGGTAATCAAAGAAAATCCAGAACGATGTAAAATACTCTGAAACCATCCACGAGGATCAAGACCAGAGAGAGTATTAGCTAAAGAAGTAGCTATCTGATCAATAGAAGTAGCTGAAGGCAGTTCTTCTGAAAATGCTGCAAAGATTTCTTCCTGTAATTGCATCTCATTAAATGTTGCATTATCCATTTTTCCCTGAATGTACAGTTCTAAATTATGCCACTCATAAAGAGAAGTGTTAAACTTATAAGGAGTAATGCAAATATGGGAATTCCAATCACATACATATTGTACAGTTTTCTGCAATTCCAAGAGCTTACTACCTAACCAATGAAATCCGCTTTGTAAAGCTGCGATTTCATCTTGTGAGCATTCACCTGAGTTTGGTGTGTCCAGAGCTTGAGAGTTATCATGCCAATGCTCGACAAAAGTCTGTGTTTGAGCAGATTTCTGAAGTGCCACACCAGCAGTAGTAGCAGTAGCAGCCAAAGCAGTAAGTCCTAAAATAGCAGCAATAATCAGACCAATCATGCATTTACCATGCCGTAACAATCTTTTGAAAAATCTCAGAATCAATCCTTGAGCAGGACTGCTTTCCCAGGAATGATGCATTTTCACAGGAATCCATAAAGAATTTCTTTGAGTCAAGATCATAACAGAGTCAAAAGGTGGATCAAAGGCTATAGAGTTGTTAAGACAAGTATACAAACGACAATTTTGACAAGTTAAATTCATGTCCCAAATGACCACATGTCCAATTAAGATTACTAGAGGAAAGTGGACACAAGCTGACACATCTTAATTTTTAACTTTAGTAAAGTCATAAAATATTTTATCATAAGTAATAGTAAAGGTTCCATCAAAGATTTCTACAGGCTTAAGAGTGGCTAGCAATTTCCAAATATGCATTTGAGGAGGATATACTGTATGTCCCATTCTCAACTGAGGTCGAGGATTAGCTATGCCTCCATCCACCCAACTCAATATTAGCTGTATTGAACTTATCTTTCATGGGAATAACATCATGTAGATCACACTTAGAGACAAAGTCCTTATAATCCACACAGTCTTGTAACCAATTCCCTACAGGACCCCAATCAATCCAAGTATGATTCCAGGACCTATAAACTTTGCCAATTAACCCTTTACAATATTGTCATATCAAAGATTGTTGTTCAGAAATCTGAGCATAAGAAAACCTTTCACACTCTGGGAGCGATGGAGCAGCTGTAGTCTCATATTCATTCCACTCAGAACCTATTGACAGGGCAGAAAACCGTAGTACGTCTGGATGGCTACAATTTGTTCTACCTTCCGGGACAACCTAATGTTGCTGTTTTATAGGATAGCAAGGAGGAACTCCAAAGCACATAATCTCAGTAGTGATGAATTGAGTATAATTAAAAACTGTTCCTTCTTCATCAGGAAAATCCGGCTAACCTGTTCCATAAGGAGGTGACAAAACATTCATAGGAAAAGTAGGAACCACAATAGCAGGCTCTTTCCAAGTATAAGGACGAAGAAGAGGAGGATTAGGTACATGAGCCCAATAAATGTTCTCAGTTCCAACAGCAGAAATCCAAATGAATAGAAAAAGTGTGATGAAAAACAGGTTGCCTTTATGGGAGGAAGACATGGCTATAGACGATAGCAGTAGTGGATTTCAAGAACAGAGCAATAAAGCCCGTAAGATCTAAACACAAAGTAAAACAGTAAGGTTAGCAGTCCTAAAGAAATGCAGATAAAGTTAAACTCGAAACACTATAATAAGACGAAGTCAGTATGAACAATCTCTGGGTTAAAGTTGTAAACTGTGAAGGAAACATGAATGTGAAGGCATGCTCCAAGGTGTACTCACCAGGAGTGGAAGCCAGAGAATATTATGTCAAAGAGGGCGTCATGGAGGATATCCTAACAGTACTAGAGAAGTTCACTTTTCCTGTTGAGAAGGACCATAGCGTTTGCCACACTGACAATATTGTTTCCTTGACTGTTGGTGCAACCTGTCATGAACTGGGCCGATGTTAGATCAATGTCTGATATAATCAGACAAGGTTCCTTTCTTTCTATATGCTTTCAGAACTGCCTGACAGGTAACATTTGCATTTTTATAAGCCAAACGCTTCACAAGCCGTGTATTAGCCTTACAGCTGACGAAAAGCCTAGACACAAAGTCCTGATATAACTCATTAGGACCCTGTTTGATCTTAGCCAGGTCCTCAGTCTGCTGTCCAGTATTGGGCAGCTCATTCCAGGCCTTTTTTGCTGCAACATTAGCTTGAGCATAAACGGCATTAGGGAAACTTAGCTGCTGCGCCGTCTCCTTATATTGGCCTTCACCTGCAAGCATATCAAAAGTAACAGGAATATGTAGATGTCTATTTAGGTCAGCTGTAGCCAGACAGAATTTGCTAAAATGTGACCTCCATATAAAATATTCTTCCATTGACAGACAATCTCTGGCCAGTGATTTCCAATCATTAGGAGGCAACTCTTCAGTAGGCAGGGAATCTAACACAGCCCGAGTAAAAGGAGCTGTAGGGCCTTGCTGCATACTAGCACATTTAAAGGTTTGTAATGACTTGAACTGAAATAGAGTATCTCCATTACCCTGACTGTCATTAGGCTCCATAATTGACATGAAGCCTGAAACATCCTCTCCAGCAGCAGTTGCCTGCTGCACAATCTTTTGTAATGGAGACATTGAAGATGATGTACAAGACACAGAAGGATTGTATACCACAGGCATAGCAACAGAGTTGCCTTGCATCATCTGAGAAGGCACACAGACCTAAGTGTGAGTAGACGTAGGCTGTATCTGGGTGTTCTTTTCAGGCTGTATTTGTATTATGGAGGGAGACAACTTAGCTTGTAACTGTGAGGCTGAAGCCTCAGTAGAGGACTCAGAGGTCTCCTCAGGGTGGTCTCACAAGGTATCAGACAACCCCCGAGACCTCTCTAGTTTATTGCCTGCAGAAGACTGAGCAGGACAAGTTAATACCCCATGCTCAGCAAGTTTTTCCTTTTCTGGCCCGGACATCAAGCAATCTCGAACGAGAGACCAGAGTGTGAAAGTCTCCTCTGGGACCTGTAACGGCCCTTGCTTAATATAGTACACCTGTAACTCTGCACCCACTTTATGCCATACATCCAGTGTCAAGGGACCCTGTTCAGGAAACCAAGGATAGACTTCCTCAAGCAAGTCCACAAAATCATTCATTCCTTGTGAACTGAATATCACACCTTGTTCCTGAAGTATATGCTTGAGCCATCCCATAGTCCTGGGAAAAAAGAAAGAAGCAGAAATATCCTATAAGGCAAAAGTGAATTAAAAATCGTTAGCAAAGGTGGAAGGCAAAAGTTTTCTTGCTCGTCCTCCAAAGTCTGAAGACAGAGAGTCCTGTTGAGTGAAAGAAGTACACATGTACCAAGCAGGGGTGGTCCAAAGTAACATACAACAAACAAAAAGAAAGGAGAGAGAGGACACACCTCAGGTCTAGATACATACAAGAGTAACACAAACATAGGTTGTCAAGGTAACAGAAAACACATCCATGGAACAATAAGGTGACAACAGGTAACCATGGAGACACAAACAAACTTAACAGTTGAAGTAAAACGAACAAGTCAAAAATTTATGACTGATATCAGTAGCCTAATTGTAATTTTTAAAGTGCGCACAATATTTATTGACGTCTTTTGCAAAATCATGGAACCTGGAAAAGAGTAAAATAGATTCAAGAGCTCATCACAAGTGATTCCTGCCACAAATCACCCGTTCATTACTACCTGTAGCTCCTGCCACGAGCTACCTGTAGAGCTCCTAGACTCATCACAAGCGGCTTCTGCCACAAACCACCTGTTCAGAGGACTCCTCACAAGCAACTTCTGCCACAAATTACTTGTTTAGAGTGCTCAGGATGCCACCTCACATACCTGAGCCACTGACCTGTGCTGTCGGGAAAAGAAAGACAAAGGAAGGTTCCAAAAATGCCATTATTCACACAGAGCCGTGCCAGGCTCAAACTGAGGGAAATTTGTTAAATGGTACCATCAAACCAAATTGAAACAAAACATGTTGGGAATGGCACTCAACGCAGATCTGCAAAAGGCACAGTGTCGACATCACGTGGGCATGCCAATTTTACGTCCCAAAGCATTGCTGTGGACGGCCCTGGTCAGCGTCCAGAACAGCCCTCAAACTGTTCCCTATTAGATTAATCTGCAGCAGAATTTGAATTCCCCGTCTGCTTCTGCAAGACACTGCATGATCAATCTAGGTTTAGGTCACCCATTAAGGGACCCAAGGAGACTGACCCCTGAGGTGGAAGCCTTTTTAGCCAAAGAAAATCCTGCATGCCAAGGCACTAAAACATGCAAGCTGCTCTCAGTTCCTTTCACAGAGTCAAGAGGGTCAGTCTGAACCTGGAAAATTCTTGAGAACAGAAGTTTGTGAGAACTAGCATGAGTCTGAACAAAAAGGACCAGTTTCTGCCCAGAGTCAGCTTCTCACATTTCCATCCTATTCAACATAAGTTTGAAATGACAAGCAAGAGACATCAGGCAGAAAACATCTTTAACAGGACAGTCCATTTTTAATATCTAGGTCTAATTTTCTGCACCAGAATTTAAAGTTAGCCATCTGTGTCTGCTTTCTCCCTGAACTCTGAATGCCGGGAACCAGGTAAGGAGGAGGAAACTTTGAATAAAAAACTCTGCAAACTTGCTCTAAGACTTTACACCTCACCTCCTCATGAATTTCATAAAGATTAATCGTCTTTCTAGATGTATGAAAAAACTGGCTTGGAAACAAGCTCCTTGGACACTATTCAGCAAACACTCTAACAAATGTCCAAGTAGCCCAGAAGTCAAGTGAAACTTCTTCTCCTGTCTGAGATGCCATTTTTACTTTTTTCCTGACTCTGTCCCCTACTCTAAAATCTAAAAATCTCATACCAAGAGCCCATAAACCAAACCCTGAAACTTGAAACCTATAACTATGAAAAATATACTGAAGGAAAGAAGGGAAAAGGACATACTTACCTAACAAAAGCATACTTACCTAAAAAACAATTTTTCCTCCAAAAATCTTTCTTGAGCAGCCTGGTGCTGGGGGTCTTCGAGCCCCACATTGGGCGCCAATTGTCGAACGCCCCCCCCCAAGCCCACCAGGCTTGGGTCTTCAACAAGAAGGACACTCAGGCAAAAGTCTGAAGTTATGCGAGGAATTTATTAAAGGGAAGGCAGGTACAGGTTGGAGAGAGATCTCCAGAAGGAACTCTACTGTGGGGTCCCACAGGTCCTTTTTATCTGACTTGGAGTTGGGGTTACCTAGGTGATTTTTACTAATAGAAACAAAAAAGTTACTTGGCTACAGCACGTAGCCACATCTTCCAGAAGATCTAATTTATTATACAGGTACAGCCTGTCAGCTCTGGCCGCTGAAGCAGAGAGCTCAGAAGCTCTTAAAGTGGCACTCTTCTAATTTCCAATGCTTATGTCAAGCATGGCTCCTGACACTCCATGTCCAACTTCAGGGGTTTTGCTTCCAAAGGGCTTAGATGGCCCAGCCTTTCCAGTTTTGCTGCCTGCAACATGCATCTCTCTCTTGGGCTGGTACCACTCCCTGAATGCAGGTTTTCTTGGCAGATGCCTCATAACTCTGTCATCAATAACATCTTCTTGAGGTCTCTATTGCCAACCAAGCTTCACTTTCACAGCTTCACATAATGACCTATCAGGGCCTTCTTTATGCAGGGGTACCCTAGCCTCAGCTGCTCTCTGAAACTGCAGTGAAAAACAGATGACCATTCACTCTTCCATTTTTCATATGGAAAAATGGCCTCTAAAGCCAGCACCAGGTAAACAACATTGCCAAGTTTGGCTACAAGTTTGAGATGGACCGCAGCCTGCTTTCAGAAGCTTTTCTCTTCAGTGGCCCTGGCAGCATTTTCCTTTCACAAGTTGGAGGCTTAGCTAGATGTGGTCTTGCCCTGGAGGCACTCTCTCCATTGTTTAAGTGAAAATCTCTAGGTCTCTCCTTAATCACTTTAATCTCCTTATCAAAGGGATCCTCTCCAGGACATGGCCTGGACTCCAACATTTATCTTCCTAGTGCTCTTTTTCAAACTGTCTTTCTGCCCCATTTACTCCTTTTCACAGTAGATCTGCATAATATTTACCATTAATAGCCATGCCACCTTTTCTATGGTAGGCTGTCTTGAAATTTCTTCTGCCAGGAAAATTAGTCCATTGCTTTTCAACTTAGCCTCAGGCAAGCTTTTTTGGCCATGGGCAGACTCCAGCCATACTCTTTGCCAAAATATCCCACTTGCTGCTTAAGTCCTTATTTCCCTCTGGAACTACATTGTTCTGAGCACTACTTTCTTCCAGGCACCAACTAGAATGGCCTGTTAAGCTCTCCTTACAGCAATCAACTGATTTTCTAACCCAAACTTCCAAAGTCTTCCACATTCTTCCAAAACCCCACATGGTCAGGTTCTTCATAGCCAACACCCCACTCCTGGTACCAATTATTGTATTAGTTACTTTTCTGTTGCTATTATAGAAGCACTGACCAAAGCAACTTATAGAAGGAAGAGTTTATTTGGGTTTATTGTTCCAAAGAGGCACGAGTCCATCATGGCAGGGGGGTATGGCAGCAGAGGTGACTGGAGGAGGAGCAGAAGCTAAACTCTCACATCTTCAGGCAGGCACAGGAAGCAAGAGAGAGACTCCAGATCCAACAAGGCTTAAGAACTCTCTAAGCCTGCTGCCATTGACTTGCTTCCTCCAGGATAGCCACACCTTCTAAGACCTCCCAAAACAGCACCACCAACCGGGGACAAAAATGTCCACATATTTGGAGCCTATGGGGCACATTCTCATTCAAATCATCATACCTTCTAAGAATGTACAGTAGATTGAAATTCTAGCAGTTTGGAATATAAAGAATTTTTTTTAATTTTATAAATATAATAAATTCATGTGAAATTATTTTTTTAATATTTTACTATTTTTATGTTATGTGTATGAGTGTATTGCCTGCATGTATGTGAGTGTATCCGTGTTGTGCAATGCTGTGGAGATCAGAAGAGGGCTTCAGGTTCCCTGGAACTAAAGTTAAAGATGGTTCGTAGCCTCCATGTGGGTACTCGGAATCAAACCTGGGTCCTCTGCAAGAGCAGTCAGTGCTCTTAACTGCTGAGCTATCTCTCCAGCCCATGAAATTCTTATTAGAATGAAATCCTGTTAATGCAAATTAGTGAATGATGCTCAAATTTTCCCTTGAATGAAATGTTCTACAAGCTGTAATGTACTGTACTAAACAGTCCTTGGCTTTTAAAGAAGGTCCATGTGGGGCTTGGTCATGCAGGACTGTAATCATTGCTACTACAGATGCTGAAGGAGAAATATTGACAGTTTGAGGCCTGCTTGAACAACTTAGTGTAGCCGTATCTTAGTGTGAAAGGCAGAAGAGTGCTTAAAATGTCTCCTGGTCTTATTTAGATCATTGGTCTTGCATGCAAGAGGTCTGCCACTCAATACCACATACCACCAACATCAGAAAAGCAGGATTCCTCTGTGTGGTGAAGATTATTGGTATTGGCAGGAGGAAGCATTTTGTTGATTGTGAGAATTTATTGTTTATGTGGATATTCTAATGCTCACTTGTGATATACTTGACTTGCTCATAAAGCAGTTGTGGTTCCCACTGATCACATTCACCCTGTCTTGCCAACAGTGATGTGCAAGTGTATGGATTTCATCACTTTAGAAGATAATCTCTTTAGAAAGATGCCAATTGGGGCTGGAGAGATGGCTCAGCAGTTAAGAACACTGGTTGTTCTTGGAGAAAACCTGGTTTCAAATCCCAGCACCCACATGGCAGCTAACAATTGTCTGTAACTCCAGTTCCAGGGGATCCGACAGCCTCTTCTGTCCTCTGTGGGCATTGCATGACACAGGTGCACTTACCTACAAGCAGGCAATACATGCACACACATAAAATAAAAATATTAAAATATTTTTTTAAAAAGATGCCAATCGAAAACACAAAAATAGTTTCCTTTTCTTGTGAAAGGAACTCTTGAAATGAAACTTCTCTAACTCTTGCCACACAATTAACTATGGGGATACTTATATCGGTGCACAACTAGGCAATAAAAGTTCCCAGCTATAAAAATAATT